GAGCCCGATGCGGGACTCGATCCCGGGACTCCAGGATCATGACCTGAGCCGAAGGCAGTCGCTTAACCAACTGAGCCACCCAGGCGCCCAACAGCAAGAATTTTAAAGATCAAAAATATCTTTATATTAAAATGTCCGAGGTGTCCTCTTTTATCTTTCTTGCTCCCATTAGAAAATATTTTTGGTTTGCTTACAAGAAATGCAAACCTGACAGATTCATTTTGATAATTGCCTCATGTGAGTCTCTGACACTTTATGAGCTGGAATCAAATTTCTAATGGTCTCCGAGGTAAGGCACAAAATACCATTTGGGGAGGGGGAAATAGGGTTATTGAAAAGTAAACAGGAATAGACAATGCAAATTAGGCTTGAGCCAAGCACATGCCTGTTTTGAATTTAAAATTGACTATAATCCAGAGCCGGTTATACCCTGGGTACCTAGAAGAAGATGGAGAGGAATATGAAAGGAATTTTTATTAAAAAAAAAACAACAAAAAAACACACAAAAGTTTGCAGAAGCACAATCTGTAAGCTCTAAATTTGATACTGTGTGACTCTCCTGGCCAGACATTTGTCTTATGTGAACCAGGTCTTCCTATATGTATCAGCAATGACACTCTTGTGTTTTTCTCTCAGACCTTCAGTTTACCTTCAAGAGCCCACTTGTTCTTTGAATTAAAGTTAAATGTACCTTTGTCACGAGCCTAAGTCAAACCATGGTTCCGCTTTGCTTTGTGACAAAATAGGAAGATTTTAAGAACAGTGCATGACAAATGGTGGGTTAGAAGTTTATATGTGACTGTGCATACGCAGTGCATACACACACACATGTTCACATGCACCCTTCACATCCATATTTGCACCAGAACCCCTCCTACCCACGGTCAGTTAAAGCAAATAATCCTAGAAAAAAATGTGATGCACACATCATGAAACATTTTAACTTAAAATATATCTATGTGCATTTATTTCCCCATCTTTTGGTGGAAAGTTGCTGTTGTTTGTTTTTCTTTCCCCAGCAAGTGAGGACTTCTAAATGCTTTCCAAAAGTAAGTGAGGCTTTTCTTGAGTAGAGGTCTGATGATCAAAGGGTCTCTACTGGTCTTGCGGTAACTACACTCTTCAGGAATCATCTATCCAATCCAGCCCAGGTTTCTGTAAGCAGAGTGAGGGCTTGGCATCCATATGTGCAGAACCAGTCTGGACTCTAGATTCTGCTTGAAGGCTTTGCCAGTTCTCTTCCCTCACCTAACTTGCAGCGATGTTTAGCAGTCCCCCCTTTATCCAGTCTTTCCGAGGAATTCAACTTAGTTTTATGGAAAACACTCTCTTTTTGCACTCACCCTTCATTTGCTCATGTATCATTTCACTCGATTTTTATGATTCCAAAAACAAATGATACCTGAATATAGAGCTTTGGAAGGAAACAGCGGATGCTTGCAACATTCAAATACAAGGGTTTCAGACAGATATGCATGGAGCTTAGTTTTGCAGAGACTTACCTGCTTGCTTCCTTTTGCCATCCACGAAACACTTGTCACTAAATTTTGCTTGGAGATTGGAGATGATTATTTAACCCTGCTTTTCTAGTCTCTAAAGAGCTCAGAATCAAATTTGTAACGTGTTTCCAGAAATCTACAGAACTTGTTGGTCTTTTTTTTTTTTTTCACCAAACTGACTTCTAACTTCATCTTCTTTTTCTACATTTTTTTTTCTTTTATGCTCATAGATTTTATTTTCTATGTCTCATTATCGGTGAGAGAACTCCAGTACTTTGCTAGAGTGGCAATGTGGTTGTGCTTAATGGATGTTTGTTTTTGCTGTTGTAGGTCTAGTGTAGTCCACGTTATGCAAGATTTAGGTTCTAAAATTAGCACACAAGGGAAAAAAGTACTTAGTTAAAATTATCCTCGTACATCCCCTGAGAAGGCTCTGTGGCTCAGTCCAGCACATCACACCTCTAGAGGTCTAAAACGCTCAGTTTTTTCCATAAGCTTTGCAACAGATCAAGATTATGTTGAGGGGCAGATGAAGTAGTTTGACTTGTTTTCTTTTCTTTTTTTTTTTTTAGTTTGACTTGTTTTCAGGGGGGTATCTGGCAAAACATAGGTATGTTTAAAAGATAGAGAGGTGTGGGATGGTCACACCCCAAGATGGGCGTGTGGGAACTGAGATGTATGCCCCTCACTTAAGGAATTTCAAAGCACATCATGGCTAATGTTACTTACGTATGCATTCTTCCCTCTGGATTAACTAAGTCTCATCTTTCTGAGAAGATGAGGACAGAAACTCATTCTAGTCTCATTATATGTTCACATAGGACACACTCAGAAATTTTGAAAGAGTTAAAATAAAAGGAAAATGGAAAACTTTGCTTGCCTTTCCAAGCCAGGAAGACTGCACTCTGAATTTTTTTAATTTGGTATTTCAAAAATCAGCTTCACTATTTTAAAATTTATAACCTAATTCTTCGATGGTCACACTACAGGTATGAAAACAGACTGATGTTCCCCGGTGGTTCTTAAATTGGGAGTAATTTCCTCAAACATTAAACTTTTAGAAAAATTTATGCATTTGGGTTATCAGGTCCCATTCTCTCCCTGTTATCTACAAATCTATAAAATACGAGCTTCCTATTTTATTCCTACCTTTACACCTCTTCAAAATTAAGAGGGTCTGTGTGTCACATATCCTATTAATAAAGTAATAAACTATTAGTCTTCAAAACAGAACTGCGCATAATATCCATATTAGTGTTTTCCTTGGTAGACTATCAATGCAAGGCTGTTATTTTGTGTATTTGGTTTTTTTTCCCCATCCAAGACTAATTTTCTTTACTTAAGATGCCTGAACGGGAACATTTTTTAGTTCAAAGTTGGGAATGTACCATTTGACACTTTTACATCTGTGCTCCCTGAGGACCCCTGATTTGTTTTGAAGGAGACAGCACTGCATAATGATTTAGGTTTCAGAGTGTGTGCTTGGGTGAGGCTGCCTGCTCTCTCACTCACTTTTACCGAACGTGGGACCTCAGACTGTCTAATCTCTTTGCACCTCAATCTCTTCATTCATGAATTTGTATTTGTATCTCCCTCATGAAGTTACTGTGAAGATTAGATGAATTAAATTTATCCAAAGCCCTTGGATCAGTCTTCATATGCCATGAATTCTCAGTAGATTGTTATTAATACCGAGCTGGATGTGTGCAAGGGAGTGGGATCCACAGTGGATGGCAGTGGGTATCACGTGACTGGTTGGAATGCAGCCAGAATATGCTCTGGTCTTTCATCGCCTCCCTCCTCTCGCCCGGCGCAGGTGGCCCCAACCATTAAGGAGCGCATGATGAAGAAGGGAAGCCTGATGCTGGGCTACCAGCCCCACCGCGGGAAGGTCAACTTCTTCCGCCAGGTGGTGATCAGCCCTCAAGTGAGCCGGGAGGACATGGACTTCCTCCTGGATGAGATAGACCTACTGGGGCGAGACATGTAGCTGTGGCTTTTGGTTCCCCAGAGGCATGGGTCCTGTCCTGGGGAGGCTTCCAGATCCACGGCATCTGGGGACACAGAAGAGACTGCAGGCCTTCTGGGGAGAAATAGGAAAGACGCCCTGGCCGGGCGTGGCCAAACGGAAATGCTAAGCAAATAGTGGGAAGGACTCTTTAGCTGCCTGGGCACTACTGTTGCTATTAAAGAAGGAGATAAAAGGTGGATTTTCTTAAGAACTGTCTTTAGGACACAGCCTTGAAGAGAGTTTAGTAAGTACCACATACGGCCTGATTCTAAGCTTCCATTGCTCTTTAAAGAACATACAAATTTAATAGTTGAAAGCCGTGGTTCTCAAAATGGCGGTCCCTGAACGAGCAGCACCAACATTGCCTGGGAACTCTTTAAAAAGACGGATTCTCAGCCCCGCGCCTGCCTGAATCAGACACTCAGCATAGTTTAAATAGCTTTTCAGGTGATCCAGGGGCAAGGTAAAATCTGAGAACCAGTGGTTTAGTGAAACCTTATAAAGACTGAATAATAGCTCTGATATTTTGCCGGCAAAGAGGTAATCTGCTATTTCAGCGGCCCCTGAGCCAGTGTCTGAAAATAACGCCTGTGGAACTGTTAGCATTAATGTTTAGGGGCATCAGCAGTCCATCAAAACTATTTTTAAAAGGAGAAGCTATTGAAGATGTTTACTTTATAAAGATATATCTTTTATGCAGCTGAGTGTTTATTCTCAAAAGCTAAAATCAACCATCATCTATTCTAAGTTACCTAAATTACAGGTAAGGATAAAGACAAACACTTCGTAGCATGGCCTTTTCAATCAAAGCAATAGTCCTAATTCACTTCCCACGGCACTCGCGTCATTAGCTTGGAGTAGACGGTAGATACAGATATCTCTGTGTACCTGTTTCCGCGCGAGGGGCCCATTTCTTATCTTGTTCTCTGCTTATAGGAAACAACCAGAATGAAGTCCAGGGTTATACAACATTCCCTTTCTCAAGCTTTGAAACGTCAGTGTAGACTATTAAGTGGTTCATATTAGGCAGAGAATCTGAGAATTAGAGGTCTTTCAGTGCAAACACCTCCTCCATTTCTCCTGGGAGTGGATGATTCTATCTCTGATCCTGGTCCCGGATTTCTAGGAGAACTCTATTTGACTAAGAAATAAACAGAATTCAGAGGTGTGGGTGCAGAGTTCAACAAGGTAAGATTGTGAATCTAATTAGAACTCTGATTTGGAAGGCAAAAGATGGAAGAGCGTTTAAGTATTAGACTTAGCATATTCAATAACCTTTCATATGATATCATTAACTTCTGTTGATTAAATTTTGAAGGGTAAAAAGCCGATGTGTACTGTTTGCTTTTATTCCATACTTTCACTTTAGGGTATGTGGTTTCTCAATATCTCCATTGGTCAAAGAATATTTTAATCTTTCTTTGAATTCCTTTCTTCTCTGGTGGTAACTATTCGTGTGTGCATATGTTTTACATACCTTGTTGCTTTTTTGTTTTAATGTCTACATAAAATGTGCCTGAAATTGATGTTTGCAATAATTCCAGTTTCATGAAATAAAAAGCAACATTAGCACACACTTCATGTTACTGACTTTTCCTGTCATCTCCTCGTTACTGGGTTGTCTCAATACATTTTAGAAGTAATTGAGTTCCTTTGGCATTTTAGCTAAATAATTGAGGAAGCACATTGAAAGCTGTCTGTTTTTGAGGTAACACCTTGAATAAAATGGAAAAAGCAGTTCTGGCAAAGGAGGGATTTGCCTTTTACTTAGTTTTTTGTCCTCCATGGAGCAAAGCCTGGGGAACCTGATAGCCACACATCAGCTCCCATTGGGCCTCTTCTTGAGAGATGATAGTTCTTTGATGAATGAAGAGAACAACTGTTAACAGACACTTTGAAGATTCCATTCTTTTTTCCTTCAGATGTTCAGATATACCATACCCAATCAGATATTTGAATGGTCAAGAATAGTTTTTCGATAAAAAGTTAATTGTAATTCATTCACACATTGAACATATTGATGGTGTCCCTACAGTGTCCTAGGCAGTTATCCAGGTGCCAGAGATGTGCAGTGAATGAGACAGACAAAATCCCTGCTCTTCGTAGGCTTTCAGTCTAGTTGAGGCAGACAGTCCACGAGTAAATATGCAACAAGTCAGGTGGTAATAAGTATTTTGAAGAACGAGGATGGAAAGGAGAGAGAGGTGTGCCATCGGAGAAAAGTTGGTTGGGGAGGGGCCTCTCTAATAAGGTGACATTTGAGGGGAGATTAAGGAAGCAAGGGAGGGAGCCATATCGGTATCTGGGGGAAGGGCATTCCCGATGGAGCGTATGGTAAATGAAAGGCCTGAGGAGCTGCATTCGTGGTATGTTCAAGGACCATCATGGAGGTAAGTGAGGCTGGAGCAGAGGGAATCACGGGATAAGTGGCAGATGATGAAGTCACAGAAATATCTGGAAGTTAGTACACTGGGCCTTTTGGGTGGAGACAGGTTCAAACAGAAACACACTCGAGAATCTGAACAGGGTATTGATGTGATTTAACTTTTATTTTGGAAGGATCACTTCGATTACTGTTTGAAGAATAAGGTGTCCGTGGCAAGCATGGATTCAGGGAGACCAAATGGGAGGCAACTGCAACAGTTCAAACAGGAAATGATGATAGTTTGTTTATACTAGAGTCACAGTAAGGGAAGTGATGAAAAGAGACCCGATTCTAGAGGCATTTAAATGTAGAGTTGACGGAGGGGCAGCTCAGTCGCTTGGGCATCTGACTCTTGATTTCAGCTCAGGTCATGATCTCAGGGTCATGAGATGGAGCCCCATGTCAGGTTCCATGCTGAGTGTGGAGCCTGCTTGGGATTCTCTATCTCTCTCTCCCTCTGCCCACCTCCTCCCCCTACCCCAGCTCGTGCTCTCTCTCTCTCAAAAATAAATAAATAAATAAATAAATACATAAATAAATAAATGAATAAACGTGGAGTTGAGAGGGTTGACTGATGAAGCAGAGTGCTCCAGGAAATGAGGAATTTAGGAGAGTTTCATATACTTTTCTCCTGGGCAACTGTAAGAAAGGAATTCCATCCACTGAGGTAAGGACTGCAAAAAGGAGTTTTACCTGCTTTTGGTCATGTAAAATTTGAATTGTCTCCACCAGCCAACCAGATCAAACATAAGTAATTACTTTTGAGTCTCAATTTCAGGGGGAAGTTGGGGCTAAAGTTATTAATTTGACAGCCATCAGCATAGGGATGTTACTTCAAATTATGGGATTGGATGAGATCATCCAGAGAGTGTCCACGGATATAAAAGAGAAGCAGGACAAGGACTGAGCCCTGGGACTTCAGCTCAAGATGGAGAGGACGAGCAATGAAGACTTAAAAGGATCAGCCAATGAGGCAGAGAAAGAATCAAGAGAGTGGTCACCCATAGGTTAAGTAAAGAAACATTTTCGGGAAAAGAGGAAGTGACCAACCATATCAAATGCTGGGGATGGGTCAAGTGAAAACTGAGATTTCCTTTAGAGTTGACAATGTAGAGGCCATTTATTCACTGAATTTTTATTTGCTAAATATAGGCATTTAAAATATAATTTTCAATATTTCTTCTAGCAGTCAGCAGAAATTTATTCAATCAAAAGACTTTTAAATTCCTCTTTTGGCTTTTGATTTTTAACAATGGTTCTTTACTGGAAAAAGATCTAGTGACATAAAGGGATTTGAACTTGAAGAAGTATCTCCTTGCTAACTGGATCAAAGAAGATGAGCTGTAGCAGTATATAACAGAAAACCCAATTAACTGTGGTTTCTTTGGAGGGTTTTATTTTTGTCTGTTCTGAAGAGGTCCCAACATAGATAATCTGGAGACAGTGTCTTACATTTCGTTACTCCGTGAGCAGACACGGACTAGGATTTGAGAGCAAGCAGCCTGTTCACTTGGAACAGTGGAGTGACAGAAGGGAAGGAAACCAGGATATTGAATATTAGTGAGCAAATTAGTGCTGTGACAACTGAGGCTCAATCCTGCCCATGACCTCTGGGAAAGAGTGTAGAACGTACTTCAGAGATGTCCCGTCTGAGGAGTAAGGAGGAGGTGTATTTAGCACATTGATGAATTAACTGGATGAGAGCTGACCCCAGGAGTATTAGTTCCCTGACCATCTTAATTATGCTTCCACGACCCTAGGAGGTCTTCAAGCAGAGAATACAGGTGCTTATGACCACAGCCTTGAGCAGGATTGGTGAATGTTGAGGAGATTTGGGAAGGGCGCTAACAGCTTTTGTAACAGATAGTGGTACCTCTACCCTATTTTCAGGGACCCCAGATCCTTCCATATTTTTGCTCTGCCATCCTTAGAGATAGATTCAACCATCAAGCTGTACTCATGGGTTTCATCTGATCACAGTGGCTCTAGCCATCTCCTCCACATTTCAGGCAGCAAGAAATAGGAAGGAACTTTCCCAGAAGCTACCCACCCCCCCTTCATTGGCCACACCTTCTCTTCAGGGAAGAGTGGGAAATTTGGTATTTTTTTGTCTGTCTGTTTTTGTGGGTTTTTAAATTTTTTTAAAGATTTTATTTATGTGAGAGAGAGCGAACATGAGCAGGAGGGAGAGGGAGAAGCAGGCTCCCCGCTGAGCAGAGAGCCCGATGTGGGGCTCCATCCCAGGACTTTGGGATCATGACCTGAGCTGAAGGCAGATGCTTAACCGACTGAACCACCCAGGCCCTCCTTTTGTGGGTTTTTTCAAAGCAAGATATGTTGCTGCCCACAACCATATAAATAGTTCTGTTCGTGGTAAAGAAAAACAGGAGAATGGATACTGGCGGGCAACTTGTAGTTTTTGCCACTGGGGCACATGCATTGAGTGACACCAGTTCTGGAAGCATGATTTTTCCAGACAGCTCAGAAATTAACCTAAGTTGATGAAGTTGGATTCCATTTACACTGGAATCTGGTCTGGCTGGTTCAAGCTGAG